ATATTCATGTTCATAATCAGAGGGGTAATAATATGCATAAAGGATCTGAACATATGATCTTCCACCAAATAAACCAACTAGCATCAACTACAAAGAGTAATCAACACTACTAGCAACCTACTAGCACCAATCCCGGACTTGGAGACAAGAATTGGATACAAGAGATGAACTAGGGTTTGGAGATGAGATGGTGCTGGTGAAGATGTTGATGGAGATTGCCCTCTCCCGATGAGAGGAGCGTTGGTGACGATGATGATGATGATGATTTCCCCCTCCCGGAGGGAAGTGTCCCCGACAGAACAACTCTGCCAGAGCCCTAGATTGGTTCCGCCAAGGTTCCGCCTCGTGGCGGCGGAGTCTCGTCCCGAAAGGTGGCTTCTTATTTTTTTTCTCATCGAAAGACTTCATATAGGAGAAGATGGGTGTTGGAGAGCCACCAAGGGGCCCACGAGGTAGGGGGGCGTGCCCAGGGGGGCGTCCCCCACCCTCGTGAGTAGGGTGTGGGCCCCCTGGCCTTCATCTTTGGCGACGATTTTTCTTTATTTATTTCAAGGTATTCCGTGGAGTTTCAGGACTTTTGGAGTTGCGTAGAATAGGCCTCCAATATTTTCTCCTTTTCCAGCCCAGAATTCCAACTGCCGGCATTCTCCCTCTTCATATAAACCTTGTAAAATAAGAGAGAATAGCCATAAGTATTGTGACATAACGTGAAATAACAGCCCATAATGCAATAAATATTATCATAAAAGCATGATGCAAAATGGACGTATCACGGTGGAGGGCTGAAAGGGTGGCCCGTTTTGTTGCCTCCTATCATGCCACAGCGTCCCGAAATGCATAATGATCTTTAGAAGGATCTCATTGAGGAGTGGTGGGCATGGAATGGCCGACAAAGAGCATCATGATTTGTGCGTTTGATGTTGTATTGTTGAACTGTTTGTTGTATTGAAAGATGAACTATCTGTTTGAGTTGTAATAACGAAATTGAACTATTTTTGTTGATTTATTTTGTTTGTGTTTAATCTTTTTGCTTGTGTTTTGAGCGCATATATTGTTTGAGCGATAGAGCACGCGCTGCATTTTACAGCGGCCGCTGGAGCCAGTGCTGGCCGCTGTGTCAAAATAGGCAAACGGGCGCGCCACAAACTGATTTTTAGTGCGCCGCGCATTGGGCGGCTATTGGAGATGCTCTAAAGAAATATAAGAGCATTTAAATCACTATGTATAGTAGAAGTAGTGATCTAAACACTCTTATATTTCTTTAAGAAGAGAGTAGTACTTAGTTAAGCTAAGCTAACAGTAAATGATTACTCCTTGTAGTTGATGCTAGTTGGTTTATTTTGTGGAAGATCATATATTCAGATCCTTAATGATATTTATTACCCCTTTGATCTTGAACATGAACATGCTTTTTGAGTAGTTACGTTTCTTCCTCGGGACATGAAAGAAGTCTTGTTATAAGTAATCGTGTGAATTTGGTATTTGATCGATATTTTCATGATATGTATGTTGTCTTTCCTCTAGTGGTGTTATATGAACATCGACTACATGACACTTCACCGTTATTTGGGGCTAGAAGGAGGCATTGGGAAGTAATAAGTAGATGGGTTGCTAGAGTGACAGCAGGTTAAACCCTAGTTTATACGTTACTTCGTAAGGGCTAGTTTGAATCCACATGTTTCATGCTATGGTTAAATTTATCTTAATTCTTTTTTCGTAGTTGCGGATACTTGCGAGAGGGGTTACTCATAAGTGGGAGGCTTGTCCAAATAAGGACATCACCCAAGCACTGGTCATGTCTACCCACATATCAAATTATCAAAGTAAGGAACGTGAATCATATGAGCATGATGAAAACTAGCTTGATAATAATTCTCATGTGTCCTTGGAAGCGCTTTGCTTTATATAAGAGTTCGTCTAGGCTTATCATTTGCTATAAAAAGGATTGTGCCACCTTTCTGCACCTTTGCTACACTTCTTACGTGTTACCCATTATGAATTATCTTATCGCAAAACTATCTATTACCGATAATTTCAGTGCCTGTAGAAAATACCTTGGTGAAAACCGTTTGTCATTTCCTTCTGCTCTTGGTGGCAGCGGGAGTCGGAGATCGGCCTGGAGATGCTGCGCGTGCGGCGGCCGTGCGGCTCCTGCTGTGTGGTGGTGCCCTTGGGTCGCGGGCAACGCTGGAGTTGATGTTGGAGGTCGCGGCGTGCGTGTGGGTGGCGGCGGCGCCGACTAGATCTGATCAGGCCGGGATTCCTGCAGGGCCGTCGCCGTGATGGACCAATAAACCAGGACGGAGGTAGCAATTTGGTACATAACATACGAACATCATATCAATATAAATTGAGACAAGTAGTAGATCGGACAAAAACCATGTTAGAACGGTGAAGAACACATACGGTGGGGTGGGAAAAGATGCACGTGTGTCGTTTTCCATGTCACCGAGTAGGCTGTCGACGTCGAGAAAGTAGTTGTCGTTGGGGCACTCGTCGTTGAGGATGTCTACGTTCGCAGCCACGATGGACAAAGATCTAGCAGCCGTGCAAGGACACAACCCTAAAAAACCTAATCCCGCCCCTCATGTACCGGATTACAAGAGACGGGGTTTTGGAGGATTGTTGTCTCACCTCCCAGTGCACACCAAGAAGCTGCATAGACAAACGATGGGCGGCGCAATGCTTGGAACAAGAAGGCAGACTCTCTCGGAGAGACTAAGTGGCTTATATGTAGAGAAGAGGAGCGAACTCTCTTATAGACTCAAGGCAGCGAAATCGAAATCAAAACACTAATGTCTAGATGAAACTGAAACAGTAATGACATCAATCGGAAGATGAATGGAGACATTCACACCCATTCGATTTCATTTTCCACGCGCGAAATGAAGAAAACGAGACCAAAACACCAGCGGAGAAACGAAACCAAAACTTTAGTGGGAAGACGAAGGAAACAATCACAGCTATTTGGTTTCGTTCTTCAGTAGCGCAAAATAATTCATTTTTTTTTCTCGTCATGCATGAACGGGCCATAGGGCCTATGGTCGGATTTTAGTACTAGGAATTATTGAATATATAACAAATTGTCTACAACCCAATGATTCCACCAACATGTACGTGTCCAAAGAAAACCAAGAGCTTGGTACTACTGAACACTAAATCGTGTTGTACGTTGTGTCTTAACTAAATCGAAACTAAGTACAGTACTACTAGTTGTAAGTACTACAAGTTATGTGATCAGGAACGGCTTAGTAGATGCTCTAAGCAGGCAGACATGCATGCACACGCATTGAACACGATCGATCTACAATAATCTAGTAATCTACTCCCTCTGTAAACTAATATAAAAGCGTTTAGATCTCTATTTTAGTATTCTAAACGCTTTTATATTAGTTTACGGAGGGAGTATTATAGATCCCGGCACGCGTCGGCGGCGCCTAATAATTTGGGCGCCCTCCCCTCATTGATACATAAGGTGTGGGCAATTCATGCCTTGCCTTGACCGCCATTAATTAATTAATTTACAATGCAAACATCCATCATTCCATATACTAGTACTATGCACAATGACAGTACATTTCGTTCGCAAATCCTACTCCTAGTAGCTACCTATAGAAGCGATTTTTTTTATTATTGATGTAGCAAGTCGAAATCTAATAGGAGTAGGCAATTCCTTAACAATGGATTAGTGGTAGGGTAGATGATGTGACGATGCAAGGGAGATGGATAGATAGCTCGGTGGTCCTTTTCTTCCTCTCCATCAAAGTTGGACCACCCACAAGACCACAACTCGACCAGTTCCACCCATGGACAGATGACAGATCCACCCCCCCCCCACCCCGTACCCATTGGCCATTGCTTGTGAATTACTAGAAATACTTTTTCAAAACGAAGGCAAAAGAATTACCTCATCGATTAATTAAGAAGAAGAGAATTATCCGATTAATCTATGGAAAAGCGGGCTAAAACCGGGTTAATCTACAGAGAATTGGCCGGTGAATTACTAGAAATATGATCTTAGTTGATTGAGACTTAACCAAGTGATATAATTATTATAAAAAGAAGAAAAGAGAATTAAAAATATATTTTGTTGTACGAATCTTCATGCAAGATCAAAGAAGTATAGCATAAGTCTCAGTCGATTGAGACTTGACAAAACCAATATTTTTTACCGTCATTGTTACACGTGTCGTCTCAAGATCATGCATGCATGCATGCTTCAGATTAAGATCTTGGAGAGCTGGACTTAAACAAGGTGATTAAGCTGGCACTCAACGTGCCTAATTGGGGCCTGCCATCTGCGTGCTTGATTAATTAGGCCGCACCAAGGGCGCGGTTTTAATTAGGAACCTGTTCAGAACTATCAGGTTTTCTCATCAAACTTTAAACACATTCACAATTGTACATTTTGAAAAGAAAAGAAAAGAAAAAGGAAAAAATACTTTGAGAAACACAAACTCAATTAAGTTGGGTGGTGCATGCATGTGTTGTTAGGTGTTTTTTCTGGTAGCTGCCGGCCGGATCCATCCATACATCCATCCATGCCTGACTGTCACTCGGCGCCGGAAGGCCGGTCCACTCCCCATGCATGGTCCATTTCATCAAAGCAGATTACAACAACAAGCTGCCCCAAACAGTAGCTTCTACAGTAGCTACTCACAGCCTCTCCTCTTCATCTTCTTCTTCCTCGTCTCTGAATCGTTCGTAAGAGCATCTCCAACAGGCGCGTCCAACGCGTGGCGCGCTAAAAAAGCCCTCTTCATCTTCTTCCTCCTCATCTCTGAATCATAAAAGAAACTCCAAAGCCAGTGAAGCTTCCTCTTCCTCCAATGCATCCACCTCCTCCATAATCCGTATCTTCTCTTCTCCTCCGCATATATCCAAGCATTCTTTACTCACACCACTAGCTAGCTAGCTACCGTGCTCTGCATGCCAACGCCGCCTCGTGCCCACTAGCCGCACGTACTACGTAGCGGGTTCTCTCGAGAGCGCAGCGCGCCATGAGCAACGTGTTCGGCGTCGGCGGCCATGGAGGTGGTGACCACGGCCATGGAGGAGGCGGCGGAGGGGAGCAGCACGGGGGCGCGGACGGCACGCTGCTGTGCTACTTCCACCCGAGGGAGCTGCTGGTGGGCGTGTGCGCGCACTGCCTCCGGGAGCGCCTGCTTCTCCTCCTCGCGGCGAAGCAGGGCGGCGGCACGGGCCGCGCGCGCCCGCCGGCCGACGGCGCCAGCTACCTGTCGGCGCGGCCCTACTGCCGGGCGCTCCGGCGCCGGACGGGGAGCATCTCCAGCTCGCTGCCGAAGGTGTTCGCGCTCGGCTCCTTCCTCCAGCGCCTCGACTCCTCCCGCCACCACCACAGCCACCACCACCCCGACGAGGTCGTCCACGACCACGACGGCGGTGGCGCTGGCGAGGAGAAGGACAGGAACCCCGACGACGACGACGACGACACCGCCTCTGTGGCGAGCCTCGACGGTAAGTTGCCACTGGTACGGCGTATGGATGCAATGATTGGTTGCTTTTGGGCTCACGGGCGGATCGGTCTGCAGACTCCTTCATATCGATCAAGTTCGAGGACAACGGCAAGGCGACGTGGGTGGACAGCCAGCAGACGTCAGTAAAGCCAGCACGCGAGGCCCCGGCGGCGATGGCCACGACCAAGACGACGACGACGAAGACGACGGCGTTGGTGGTGGAGCAGGCGGGGCGGCGGGGCGGCGTGACGCGGTGGCGGAAGCAGGTGGTGGGGCGGCTGCTGCAGCTGGCGCGGTGGAAGCGGGCGTCGGGCAAGCAGCCGTCGTCCTCGGCGGCGGCGGACCAGCGGGCGAAGGCGCGTGGCGGCGGCGGCGGCCGGGGCTGGATCCGGAGCCTGACGCGGCGGCGCGCCGCGCACGGCGAGAGGGCGTGGTCGTGAGCGGGCCACGGCCTCCTACACGTCCACACGTGATCATGGGTGGATCGAGGAGTATGTTATGTACGTACGCACGCACGTGGTGCTCCTGTTTGTTTGTGCATACGGGCAGCCACAGATCCATCCACATCCCATATCCATTTCCACGGAGATATATAGCAATCATAATCATATATAGATATACTCATATACCGAGCAAAAGAAGGAAAGAATCGCACTCTGCAGATCTCGTTTCGTTCTTCCCTGCATGAGAGGTGTTTGTTTGTCCCCAAGAGCCTGCTCGCTCATGAATTTTGATAGATGAAAACAGATAGAAAAAAATGGCTTGTTGTGTACATGCAAATGCCTATATTTTGTTTCTGTCAAGAAGTGGCATGGTACGTATTACTCTGAACTCTGAAGTCTAGATTACTTGTGTGCTGTCAGTTTTCAGCAAACGACCCAGGTAACTTTGGTCTGCGTGTCCAAATGCCATTTTAGCACTGTGTGTGTGTGTCTTGTTTTCCTTTTTGCTTTGTGTGTGTGTGTCTTGTTTGTTGTCATGTACTCCCTCCATTCACAAATATAAGATGTCTAAATAATTTTCTGAATCAGATGTATATAAAGACGTTTTAGTGGGGTTTTTTTCCACTCATTTCAGTCTGTATATTATCCAAAACATCTTGTGACAGAGGGAGCATTGTCCTGTACTAGTATACGAGTAGAAGAAGATATAGGAATGTTTGTGAGCTGAAGAGACATCGGCAGGCAGCTGACGATCACGTTTCAGCTGCCGCTGCCGCTGCGACTGAAGTGACGAGCAGTCCTCTTGGGACAAGGACGGAATGACAGATCGTAGAATAGGTACTAGTCGATGATGGGGTTTGGTATGGTCGCACGCATGCCCTCTCTACAACTACATGTCCTCTAGTTGTCTGTGTATGCTAAATACATAGGTAGGCTGCTTTTGTTCTATCTTTCTTTGGAGCAAAGCTGCCTTTCTTCTCTTTGGCGGCCCGGGCAGAGCTTTCTTTAGCAGGGTCAGAGACATATCTCCCCTTTCAAGCACAAAAGAGGAATGACAGAAAAAAGAGAAACGTTGGTTTCGACTGACCGACTGGCTTTCCAGGAAAGCAGACAACCAATTCCTGGATACTAGATGCACCACCAGCGGGAGACGTGCATCCGCTTCATGGAGTTTCACCGGTCAAAAAGCAGAGGATAACACAAGGTTAATCTCAGAGAAACAAGGAAGGAGCCATCATCACAACTGAAACGCCGAAAAACAGAGTCCAACTCACAACAAGACGCAGAGCGGCGCCAACCCTACCCTGCGCCATGTAGCCTCAAGGCCACACATGCCGGAATCCTCACAGCGAGCATCAGGATGATGCGAGGAGCACTCGGCCTTCGCAGTTTGACACTACCGCAAAAAGGCGTCGACCGACCGTCATGGAAACATTACATAAAGCGAAAAGGAAAAGGAAAAAAAAAACATGGCAGCCTATAGTTATGCGGAGAACATCGGCAACTGCTTGCGGCCGCAGGTATCCTTGCTTCAAGTCAGGTCCATGAACTCTATGTGTACAGACCAAGGCAGCATAGCAGCCTCGGTCGTCCAGCTCGACTTCGCTACAGGAACAAAGGAACAAATGGCTGAATCATCTTGGTAGAAACAAAGTAAGAAACTGCTACATTGACACTAGCAGACAAATGAACATTTTACAGTCTACCTCTTTTCTCATCTATGGGAATCACTAGGACAAACTATGTGTTTCTCTGAAGATAAATCATAGGTGGTTCTTAAACATGGAAACCTACAGGCACACTACATTGTACAGACTGAATCATATACTCCCCCGGTTCCTAAATATTTGTCTTTCTAGAGATTTCAACAAGTGACTACATACGGAGCAAAATGAGTGAATCTACATTTTAAAATAAGTCTACATACATCCGTATGTTGTGTTCATTTAAAATGCATAGAAAGACAAATACTCCCTCCGTCCCAAAATACTTGTCGGAAAAATGGATAAAAATAGATGTATCTGCAACTAAAATACATCTAGATACATCCATTTGTCCGACAACTAAAATACAACTAAAATGGTCATGTGAAACCATCTCTGCATGCATGTTCATCGTCGCAAACAAAACAAAGCAGGAAAAAAATCAAATGAGATAGTACCTTCCAGTATACTGTGTACTTCAGGCGTCTTGCTTGGAGCCATCTCGGTCGTGGCCGTCATCTTTACCGATCGTGAGCTGGCAGTCAAGCAGACTCGTGGCAGAAGCGTCTTCATGAGCAGCTCCCTCGGCCGCAGCGTCAGGGGCCTGGCTCACTTCTTCAGAGGAGCCATTGGTGGCGCTCTGCACCGGCGACGTGATCGTGGCGCCGAACAGCTGTATGCTCCTCCTCTCTTCGGAGGGGCGCGTGTTCACCGAGTTGTTGGGCGGGGATCCAGCTTCAGGGTTCACGACCTCGGAGGAGCCGCCGCTGGAGCTGGGTGGGAAGAACTGCTTGGTTGTGAGCACGGTGGGGGATGGAGAGGGCAGCTCGGTGAGGCCGATGTGCCTGGCTCCCTGCATGCCGGCAGGAATAGGTGACCCCAGCAGCATCACCATGTTCTCGCAGTCTGGCCCCAGCAGCGGGTCGGCCATGCCGACATCGCCGGAGCACATAGGGGGGAGGGTCGTCTCGGAGATCTTGAGCTTCTTCAGGATGGGAGGGTACCCGACAAGTTCCACTTGCCAAGCATTGACATGCCTGTTTCTTAGTGACCCTACCACAGATTCATCCCAGTCTATCTGCAAGCAGGTAGATAGATAGATAGATTAAGCAGCAGTAAGTCAAGTAAGAATCTTCGGAGCCAGTAATAATAAACATAAAGAATCTTGAAATTGTTAGATCAACTGGTTTGGGTACTATCTGAAAAATCAAAGAATCGACGGAGTGGACAACGACATAGAACACTTCTCTTGACATGTCAGTAACAAAGGTGCAGTGAGCCATATGAAATAACACAACTCTGAATTGGACATTCATGACTCTGAAGAGCTAACGGCACATAGTTAACTTCAGTAAGCTCTACATTTTTCAAGGTCTGAATGAAGGACTTACTGCTGATGACATTACATGGCATGACTTGTTGTATTAATGACAGTAAAGGAAAGAAGTAACAAGCTGAATTCCAAATAAAAATTGACTGCTGACCGAGTTCATCTCTGTTTGTTTCAGTAAATACCATCAGATGCAGAGCCAGCCCTATTGGAAACAGACATGGATCTAATGACATCCGACATAGGAACCGCCACCAAACCCACATTAAAAAACACTGAACTATCAAACAATCGACAACAGCAACTCTACGGCATGCAGCAATAAAGTACACATGGCTAAACATAGTTACTTATTATTAGCCCAAGATTGCTTGCCGCTCCTCATTCAGAACCTAGCAAAACACTTGAACCACCAGAATAGAGTAGACCACCAGAAGCAGACCAGAAGTCCTATTGGAAACAGATAAGTGATCTAAAGCCATGCATCCGACAGAGAAACCACCACCAAACCCATTAAAAACACGACGATAGCATCAACTCTACGCATGCAGCAATAAAGTACAAGTGGCTAAACATAGTGCATATCAACTATTAGTCCAAGATTGCTTGCCACTTCTCGTTCACAACCTAGCAAAATACTTGAACCAAACATGAATAGCGACATATACTGAAGTACTGAACCAAACATTCAGATATGGACTTGACCGATCACTCGTTAGCTACTCCGACAGTTAACTGAACATGGCAGTACTGAACCAAAAATTCAGAGATTTACTTGATCAACCACTCGCAAGCTGTCCCGACAGTTAACTAACCATAGCAGTAATGAACCAAACAGAGACCTAGTCGACTGGGTCGATCAGATTAGCGGATTCAGCAACGAATGCAACATCAGATCAGGTGAAATAGCAGCAATTAAGATGGGATGGTACACAACAAGTTTAGCATGTTTGGTTCAGTATTGCCACTTGTTCAACGATGAATGCAACATCAAATCAGGTGAATTAGCAGCAATTATGAATGTCAAAGATTGCTTGCCAGTCTCTTCTACTTGTAATCTTGTACAAGTGGCTAATCATAGTTATTAATTATTAGTCCAAGATTGCCTGCCACACCTCATCCAAAACCCAACAAACACTTGAACCAAATATGCATGGCGATATATCCTGAACCAAACATGCAGAGATGGACTCAATTAATCAGATTTGCAGATTCAATGGTGATACACAACATCAGATCAAGTGGATTAGTAGCAATTATGAATGTCCAAAATTGCTTGGCACTCTCTTCTATCTATGTTCAGTAAAGGCAAAAAGTAACACGCAGAACATCATTTAAGACAAAAGAACATTGCTGATTCCTAATCAAAATTGACTGCTGACCGAGTTCATCTCTGTTTGTTTCAGTATGTACCACCAGAAGCAGAGTCAGTGCTATTGCAAACAGACAAGTGACCTGAAGCCATACATCCGACAGAGCAACCGCTACGAAACCCACATTAAAAAAGACTGAACTGTTAAACAATCGATCATGGCAAACTCTACGGCATGCAGCAATGAAATGCAAGTGGCTAAACATAGTAATCAATTATTAGTCCAAGATAGCTTGCCACTCCCTCACTCAGAACCTAGCATAGTAGTTGAATCACACATGCATGGAAGTTGCTTGTCACTCCCTCATTCAGAACCTGGCAGAATACTTGAACCACATATGCATGGTGATATATACTGAACCAATCAACGAAAAATGCAGAGATAGACTCGGTGGATCACGCCGACAGTTAACTGAAAATGGCATTACTGAACTAAACAGAGACAGACTCAATCAGTCGATCGGATTTGCGGATTCAACATGAAAGCAGCATCGGATCAGGTGAATTATCAGCAATTATGAATGTCCAATATTACTTGCCACTATCTTCTACTTGTACTGAATGGCAGAGCAGAACAATTGAATCAAGCATG